GCCCGGCTCAGTATCTTAACTTTTTTCAGATTAGGAAAAACAAAAAAACCAGATTTTGATCCTTTGATTTTTTTCGTTTTTCGAGACAAGGTTTTGCTATGTAGTCCAGACTGGTGACATCGTGATCCTCCTGCCTCAGCTTCCCCAGTGCTCAGACTGCTGCTACCACACCCAACTCCATGTGATTAATTTAATTTCCAATTATTTTAGTGGGAAAAAGAAAATTCATACAAAATTAACCTAAAGTAGGGCTGGGGGGAGGTCTAGCTCAACTACAGAGCACTTGCATAGAATGCCTAAGGTCCTGGGTTTGACCCCAAGCAACACCTAAAACAACAAAAGTCCCTTTGATATCAAGTCAGGGTTAGGTATATTTCAACCTATTGAGTTCCAGACTTTTAACTGCCATCAAAACAAAGCAGCATTTGTGTTTCGCAATTCTCAAGTTGCTAAGCATTATCACAAGCAACCAGCAAGGAAAAAGAATTACTCTTCCTGCATCCATGGGGACTATTTATATGGGAGGAGCTTTTTTTTTTGGTAGCGGGGGAATCAAACTCAGGACCTTGCGCTTTAGAGGCAGGGAGGAGCTTTTAACCTAAAAAGGGTATGATAACATTTCTTAGTACATAAAATTCTTTCACTAGTTTTCTGCAAATTCCTCTCAAATGATCTCCAAACTAATAATTTTTTTTTTTTTTTTTTGGTTTTTTGAGACAGGGACTCACTATGTAGTTGAAACTGACCTGGAACTATGTAGCTCAGGCTGGTCTCAAATTCACAGCAATCCTCCTGCCTCAGCCTCCCTAGTGCTGGGATTACAGGCGTGCGCCACCACACCAGGCTCCAAACTAATACTTCAAGAGCCAGGAATGTAACTCAGTGGCGCCTTGCCTACCTGGCAAGCGCAAGGTCCTAAGTTTGATCCCCAGTACTGCAGACTAATACTCCACAGAGTAACTATTAATTGGTAAACATAGATCTTATGCACAACTTTAAATCCACCTTACTTGTATACAAAAATTTTTTTGAAAATTTGTTATGTCTGTGATACATAATAAATCTAGCCACCAAACCAGGCATACCAAAATAAGTAAATAAATAATCTAGGCCGGGTGTGGTGGCACACTCCTGTAATCTCAGCACTCCGGAGACTGAGGCAGGAGGATCCCTGTGAGTTCAAGACCATCCTGGGCTACACAGTGAGTTCCAGATCAGTCTACATAGTGAGACTCTGTCTGAAAACAAAAATAAAAAAAAAAGAATACCTAGTGGTGTAAATGAAACAAATCGGCCTGGGGATTGAATCTCAGCCCTTGCACTGCGCTACAAATCCAGCCCCCCACCCCTTTGAGACAGGGCCTTGCTAGGTAGTTGAGACTGACCTGGAATTCTCTATGTAGCCCAGGCTGGTCTCGAACTCATAGTAGTGATTCTCCTGCTTCAGCCTCCCAAGTGCTGGGATTACAGGCGTTTGCCACCACGCCCGGCTTCTTTTGGTTTTTTGATACAGGGTCTCAAACTCAGTGATCCTCCTGTCTCAGCCTCTGAGTGCTGCGATTACAAATGTGTGCCATCATGCCCAGCCCCAGGCCATTTTCTAAGTCTCTTACTAAATTATCTAACTGGTATCAAATTAAGATCCTCATCTCCTGGAGAAATGGAATTTCAGGTGTGCACCCTAATTTTTGTGGTAAGGAAAATTTACCATTTTCCAAAAACACAGTGTATTGTAGTCATTAGGTTGTACAATAAATCTTTTTTTTTTTTTAATCTTTTCCTCATTTTGAGACAAGGTCTCACTGTATATATAGTCCAGGTTAGCCTCCCAACTTGAGATCCTCCTGTCTTGGCCTCCTGAGTCATAGGTTGAAATGTGGGTGAGTGATGTAGCTCAGCAAAGCATCGCCTAGCTGGCAAGCACAAGGCCCTGAGTTCAAGTCTTAGTACAAAAAGAAAAACCAAGCCGGGCATGGTGGCGCACACCTGTAATACTAGCACTCGGGAGGCTGAGACAGGAGGATCGCTGTGAGTTGGAGACCAGCCTGGGCTACACAGTGAGTTCTAGATCAGTCTCAACTACATAGTGAGACCCCGCCTCAAAAAACCCAAAAAAACCAAAAACCACCCCCCACACAAAGACATACACTAAGGGACAAGATGGTGCCACCTGTGCAGTTTCCTTTTCAAGGTTACCTGAAGACTTGGGCAGCAGCATGAGCTGAAATGAACCAAGCAGGAAATGGCAGAAAGCAGCCCAGGAAGACAGCATACTGAAACAAGGGACAGCAGCAGCCTACACTGCTGTAGTTCCAGCAAATAGTTTTCAAATAGTTTGTGTAAGACATGCACTAATTGTGCTCTGTTTACAACAAACTTTTCTTGGGAGAAAGGGGCATAATGGGGATAGAACCCAGGGCCTTTACACTGAACTACACCCCCAGCCCTTTATGAGACAAAGTCTATCTCAGTTGCCCAGGAGGGATTTGGATCCCTGATCCTCAGTCACCCCAAATGTTGATTAAAAGCATGCACCACTGCACCAAGCTTGAATAGATTTCTTACATTTACTCCTAAAACTTGTGTCCTCTGACTAACATCTCCCAGACTTCATCCCCTTTCCTCCAATTATGCTTGTTCCCGGTAATTATTGTTATACGTACTTGTACATTCAACTTTCTTGGATTCCAGAAGTGAGAGCATAAGCCTTTCCATGTCCAGCTTATGGTACTTAACATAATGCCCTCCAGCCTCATTTATGTGGTTGCTAATATCAGGACTCCATTTCTTTTCTTCCAGAGATCTTGTCTATGGCCTTGAATTTCTGAGTTCAAATGGTTACCCTGTCTCAGCCTCCCAATTATCTAGGACTTCTGTGCTCTCCACTGCACAAGATTTAATTCTTTTAAAGGCTGACTGGGATCTGTGTGTGTGTATGTATATGTGTCAATTTTATCCATTCAACCACTGCTGGACAAGGATGATACCACATCTGGATACTGTGAATACAGCTGCAATAAATATGGGAGTGTGGTTATTCTGCCCCCGTTCAACATACCTGCTTCACTTATTTAGTTTTGGTACTGGGGATCATACTCAGGTCCTTATGCTTGCAAGGAAGGTGGCAGAACCCCTGAGCTTACATTTTACTTTATTTTGGAAACTGGAGCATGTGGTATTTTTACCTAAGTTTTTGAGGAATCTCCATACTGTGTCTCATAATGGTTGTATTCATTTAAATTCCTGCCAATGGTATGCAAGGGTTCCTTTCTCATACTGGCACGGCAGTACATGCCTGTTATTCCACCACTTGGAAGGCTGAAGCAGGAGGATCAAGTCCAAGGCCAGCTTACAGCTACACAGCAGGATCAAAACTGACAGGCATTACATAGCAAGACCCTTTGGGGGTAAAAAAAAGTTCTGATTGGGCCCTATGGTTCAAAAGCTCCACCCACACACAGCTGGTAATGTAGCTCACTGCTCTGAGTTAAATGACTGCCTCTCTAGTCCTGGATTACAGGCATACAGCACATTTTTCTTCAGCACAATACTGGTAACTCTCAACATTTGTAACCTTACCAAAACTAAAAAGGTGGAGGTGTTTTTAAAAGATCAAAAAGGAAGGCTTGGGGGGCTGGGGATTTAGCTCAGTGGTTCGGTGGCCTGCCTTGCAAGCGCAAGGACCAGAGTTCAATCCCTGGTACAAAAAAAAAAAAAAAAAAAAAAAAAAAAAAAAAAAAAAAAAAAAAAAAAAAGGAAGGCTGGGGATTTAGTTCAGTGGCACCACGCCTGCCTCACAAGCTCAAGGTCCTGAGTCCAATCCCCAGTATCGGGGTGGGGGTGGGAGGTCAGAAAGGAGAAAAGTTATTATACATATTGAGTCTAATAAAAATACTGCAAAAAATGAAGTGAAGTATTATTAAATGAACTCAGAATGGGAAAAACTTTGTACATGTACAGCTATGGGGAAAAGTATGAAATGGTTCTTGAGGTAGTCATAGCTGGGCATGGTGGCACATGCCCATAATCCCAGCACATCAAAGGTTGAGGTAGGAGGATCATCACGAGTTCAAGGCCAGCCTGAACTATACTACATAGCAAGACTTCTCCCCGACCCCAAAATCAATGTAGTTTTTTTCCTACTGTATTAAAATAAAGACACAATCCCATCTTCAAAGAAATGAACTTTTATTTGAAAGGACCTTTCCCCCACATTCATCATCAAAGGACTCTAATACTATATAACAGCCTGCTTAACCAATGTGCCAATACCATTAACAGCAAATTATACAATTGCTCTAGGTAATAAATAAGGGTTGTCCTTCACTGATTAAGGGAATAAACTTCAATAATTTTAACACAAAAATCACAGTAAGTTTGTAAAGTTTAACAGATATATTTCAAATACAACATGTTTTGAAGGCATCCACAAGTTTTTCATGTCTAAAGAGTGACTTAATTTTAGGGTTCCAAAATTACATTCTTCCAAAGAAATGTCCAAGCATTTTCTTCTAAAGCTTCAAACTTTCTACACTCAACTATGTGACTGTTTCATGCCACCTCAGACAAACTTGACATGACTGAACTACTTCATATCTTACTATCTTCCCCAAAACAAAGTTTAAAAAAAAATAAATGTAGATCTCTAATAGAATGTCTAATACAATATGTGACACAAAGGTTTCCCTTGTATGATTAGCTAGGAGTTAATTTTCCCTATAGACAAAAAAAATCATTTACAAAGCATAACACTGGATTCTCTTTTACTCAGTGTTCAAGTAATTAAAATGACAATTGCATTTGCAAGTATATTATAATAACGGGTAGAAAATAGCAACATAAATGACAAAAAGTATATTCTAAAAACCAAGAACTATTACTTTATTGTTTTTTGGTACCGGGAATCAAACTCAGGACCTTGTGCTTGGCAAGGTAGGCATGGTGCCATTGAGCTAAATCCCTGGCCCATATTTTTTAAGGAGTAGGAAGGATGAGAAGCTTGTGAGAGGTCAGAATTGAAAAGGAAAGGGGGGGGGGAAAGGAGGAAACAAGTCCTTAACTGCAACCATTCCATTATCAATAGCGTCCTGAAAGAGAAAGAGCAACAAAAAAGTTGAAATGACTAACTTGCTTAATGTTTTTCCAACTATTAACATAAGACAGAACAAATACCCTAAAACAAGTAATTTAGAAATGAGGTTTTAATGCTGCAAAGTTCACATACTTGGGCTGTAGGAACGAGATCTTGATCGTGATCTGTATCGGCTATAATAAGGAGAAGGTGATCTTCTTCTGTAAAAAGTAAAAGATTACTTAACATATCACAATCACTCCAGTGAGGCAGATAAAAATAAAAATTCCTCATAACTCAGAATAATAATGCATCCAAGAAAACCATTGAAAGTTGTGTGCCAATGGTACTAAAATAGTAAGAAGCATATATGATAAAATATTGACAAATGCAGTTAAACTTCTGTTCTTTAAGTGTCAGAATTAATTTTTTCCCTTGGTACCAGGGATCAAACTCAGAACCTTACACTTGTCAGGCAGGTGGTGCCACTGACCTACATCCTTGGTCTCACACAGAATTTTTAAAAAACATCAAGGTTTTTTTTTTGTTGTTATTTTTTTTGTTTTTTTGAGACAGGGTCTTGCTACGTAGTTGAGTCTTGTAGCCCAGGCCAGCCTTGAACTTGTGGTGATCTTCCTGTCTCAACCTCTCAGAGGAGTAATGGGAATACAGGTGTGCACCACCATGCCTGACTACCAGTTATTTTTTTTTAAAGGATGAGGTCTCACTATGCTGCCTAGGCTAGCCTTGAACTTTTGGGCTCAAGTGATCCTCCTAGTATCTACTACCCAGCCACCATGCCTGGCTCAAACATTCAGGGGTTTTAATTTATACAAATCAAACATTAAAGTGTCAAATACTACTTCTATTATGCAACCCAAAACAATTCTTAAGTTAGAACATTACCAGCTGGGCATGGTGGTGCACACCTGTAATCCCAGCACTTGGGAGGCTGCGGCAGGAGGATAGCTATGAGTTCAAAACCAGCCTAGGCTACATAATGGGCTCCAGGTCAGTCTCAATTACATAGTGAGACAACTGTCTCAAAAAACAAACAAACAAACAAACAAATTACCTGTACCGGTAATCATAGTCTTCGTATCTGTCATACCCACGATCATATCCTCTATCATAGTAAGAATCTCGACGTCTGCCGCCGCCGCCACCACCACCACCACCGCCGCCACCGCCACCGCCACCACCACTACTACAAAAAAAGTGTAAAAAATTATACATTAATTCAAATGATTGTTTTGCAGGAACATTTATTACAAACTCAAAAAAAAAAAAAACAAAACAAAACAAAAGGCAAAAAATATACAAAACGACTTCCATGTCCATCCAGTATCTCATTTTGCTGACTTCCATGTATTCTGCTTTGGCTTCTTTACTCAATACATGCTTTCACCAAATACTCTTAACTAAGCTCTAGTAAACTGTTTTTCTATTTATGCAGTACTGAAATCATGACTTTTTCAATGAAATGAAATAAAACAATGGATTGGGAAATAGTACCAAATGCTAAAATGATGCCTCTAACTGAAAGGCAAGTAATAAATATCAAAAGTAAAGAATTTACCAAAACACCAAAGAGAATTAACTCATCTTACACCGAGTGTTAGCGCATAAACAACTGCAAGGTCTGATGTTTAAACCTATAGCAGTGAATCTGAACTCCACATCCCTTTGTTTGGTGTGTTCCGTGCTCCCAACCAAAAGGAGCACCACTAGCACTTTAGTTTTCTATAGGCTCTTGTCATCCAAACCCACAATTCCGTCATGTGAAGTTTTAAATTAAATGAAAGCCTGTATTCTTTTATTCCCAAGAACTGTTTGTGAATACTGGCTTTGGTTATATATTCAAAAGTTAGAAAAACCTGCCGATATTTTTGCTCAATGTGAAAAGTGCGGTACCTTTTAAAAAACAAACACTAGGTAGGGGCCAGGGTAGTAGCTCAGTGGTGCTATGCCTGCCCGGCAAGTGCAAGGTCCTGAGTTCAATCCCTAATACCAAAAAACAAAACAACAAAATCTGTCCTGTGTACAGAACTCTCTCAGGTCACATATGAACAGAAAAGAGAATAAAATTTTGAATAATAATACATGATAATTTTCTAGTATTTAATAATTTTTCTATTTGTACACTACCAAAAGCCAGGAGTGAACTTTGACAGTTTTAATTTATCCTCCTACTCAAAAAATACATATAAATAGTATGTGTAGCAATATATTTATAAAACATATAACTTAAACACATTGTAAATTAAAAATAGATAAATGATCCAAAGTTTGTAATGTTATTTTAATTCTTACAGGAAAAAATATTTTATCTTCCAATTAATCTAAAATTCACCCCCTGCCCAATATCAGGGATTGTACTCAGGACCTTATGCTTGCAAGGTAGGCATGGTGCCACTGAGCTACATGCCTGGCCCTCCTTTCTTGGTTTTCTGAGACAGGGTCTCACTGTATAGTTCAGGCTGGCCTCCAACTCAAGGTGAACCTCCTGCCTTGGTCCTCTGGAATACTGGGATTACAGGCACGTGCCACCATGGTGACTAAACATTCACACATTCTTGTGGACTTCGGGCTCTTACAGTTTAACTCGGGAAATCTGGCAGGGGTAGGGGAGGGCAGTACAGGAACTGTGACGAGGGGGTGGGAGGCAGTGCTGAGATGGAACTCAGGACTTTGCACATGACTAGGTGAGCTTCCTACCACTGAGCTACATCCCTAGCCCTAAGAAATAGGAAGTCTTACTGAGTTGGTCTGCCCATGTAGATGCCTGGTGTAGGTGTATGCGCTCTCTTGGTGATAGAATAATCCACACGAATTCTTCTACCATCCAGCTCCATTCCATTTGCCCTTTCCATAGCCTAAAAAAGGAGAACAAGTACAGAAAGTCATATCATAATTCATTAGCCTTACTTAAAATTAAACAAAAACTATTTAAGCCACATAACTTAATTTTGAAAGTGACATAGTTGAGCAGCTTGTACAGGGGATTGTATAGACACTTCTAGACCTCCTCACTGTCTAGAACATATTTAATTTTTTTTCTTCTTTCGGGTTTTTTTTTGCCTCATTGGTCCTGGGAATCAAACAAACTCAGGACCTTGCACTTACTGAGCTAAATCCCCAGCCCTTCTTTTTTTCCTCTGGTACCAGGGATTGAACTCGGGACCTTGCACTTGCAAGGCAGGTATGGTGCCACTGAGCTAAATCCCTGTCTTTTAGTTTTTAAAGACAGGCTCTCCTCAAACTTGTGGCAATCCTGCTGCCTCATCCGCCCAAGGGCTGGGATTATAGGCATGTGCGACCATGCATGGCCAGAACATATTTAAATTTACCCAGCTCAGAGTATTTAATAAACATTTGCTGAAGTATTTTCTCTCTATGGTTCAGATCCCACTTCATTCTTCTTTAGTTTAGAGTCTAATATGTTGATTTGATTCTTTAAAGATTTTTTTTTTCAGCTTTAATTGAGTTTATTGGTACATTTTAGGGATACAGTACAGTTACATTCATTGTTGGGATCTTGTACCTCTATATGACAGGTCTTGATTCTCATTTTTTCCCCTTACCCCTGCCCTCCCTTCACCCCCCTCCTCCCCTCCCCGTCTACACTTTATTTCCATCTTTTCATTATCTCACATTTTCATTAAAGATTTTTGAATTGAACCCAGGAAGCACTGAGCAATACCTGGGGACCCTTTTTTTGAGGGGGTATGTATGTGTGAGTAGTTGAGATTACTGACATGAGGCGCTACCATGCCTTTCCCACTTTTTTCTTCCATTTTTCAGGACTGGGGATTGAACTTCAGGGCCTTCACTCTGAGCTAAATCCCAGCTCTTTTTAAAAAATTTGAGACAGGGTGTAATTAAGTTGCTAAATTGTTGGGACTGGGCTTGAAAATTGTGATCCTCCTGCCTCAGCCTCCCACAGCTGATACTATAGGTGTGGTCCCATCACACCTGCCTATGGGTAATTCCTTTTTAATTAAACCCCACTAACTTTGATACAAGGATATACTTCTTGATGGTCAGAGAGATAACAGATTTGTAATAGCTACTCAGGAGGCTGAGAAAGGATTTGAAATTTGAGACCAGCTGAGCAATTTAATGAGACTGTCTCAAAATAAAAAGGTGCTATACTCCTTGAAGATCAAGGCTTTTTATTCACAACTTCAAAAAAATCAAAGTTTCTAAGCTCCTTTTCCTCATACTTTGCATGGTGAATTTACACATACCAATCTTTATTTTATGCATGTCAATAGCCTTGGGTTTTGCAATGTAGACACTTCAGTTAAACCATTTCATACCAAATAGTTTCTCTGGTGTGAAAAACTAAAAGTGTAAATTGTATAACTATACAAATTGTATAAATGACAATGTGAAATAGGAAGAAAAGGGGTAAAGGTGTAGGGGAAGTGGGAAGAGTACAGGAAAGGAAATAAGGCACAAGAAAAAAATCTGAGAAAAGGAAAAAATGGAAACAAAGTATTTTTAAATAGGGGAGAGTGGAGGGGGTGAAGGGAGAGCAGGGGTATGGGGAAAAAATGTGAACTAAGACCTGTCTTGTAAAGGTACAAGATCTCAATGATGAATACAACTGTACCGTATACTCAAAATCTTAAAAAAAACTTTTCCCCCTACTACTATCATCAATAAATACTTCCTCATTAAAAAAAAAAAAAGAAAAGAAAGAAAGCATTTCAGAAGGCCTATGGAAAAAGCCTACGAATAGCCACAGTCACAGACAAGGAAGAATATAACTTACAAAAGCCTGTATAATTCTGAGGTCCTAGTACCTAATTTCAGTCTGGGCAACTCAAAGTAGAAACTGCAGTTCAGCTGAAAAGCCTACACTAGTTTGGCCATTACTTAAGTAACACATCGCCACCTAGTGAGCTCCAAGTAGAAAGGAAATTAACCTGCCACTAAGTGCTCCATCTGAGCTCATGGTCCCTTCTCCATCACTTTGCCTTAGTCACAATAAATCCAATGATAATTTAACCACTTTAGCAAATAGAAATATTTATAAGCAGTTTTTGGAACCCATGTAGTCATTCTTAATTTGTCCAGAAATAAATAAACCAAGAGGACAACTGAACCCAAGCCTTCACACTGAGCTACATCCCCTCCCCCCCGCATCCAAGCCTTCACACTGAGCTACACCTCCCCACCCCCACCCCCGCACCTTTTTTGTTACCGGGGATTGAACTCGGGTCCTGACGCTTCTAAAGCAGGCCACCGAACCGCTGAGCTAAATTCCCGGCCCTAATTCCCTTTTATTTTTTAAAACTTTGAGTCAGGGTCGCACTAAACCACTGTGTTGCCCAGTCTTTCATCCTCCTACTTCAGCTCCCAGAGTGCTGAGATTACCATGGTTGGCTCTATTATTTTTTTTCCTTCTGGATACACAGTCTCACTATGCAACCCAGAATCTCCCTGAATTCAGTCATCCTCCTGCCTCAGCCTCCCAAGTGCTTGGATTACAGGTGTGCATCACACACCTGGCATTTTCTTAATATTTCTAAATTATACTTCTTTCCTTTTGAGGGCAGGAACAAACAAATCACATGTATGTAACAAAGTCAAGACACTGAGGAATTAAGACATTAGATTGTTACATTAAGGACTAACGACAAAAGTATTATTTTGTTACTCTCAACCTCAACCTTGGCCACTATTAACAATTTTTGGCCTGCTGATGCCATGCTGAAGAGTCATCCTGTACACTACAGGATCCCCTCCTCCCTTTTAGATACAGGGTTTTACTGTTACTCAGGCTGGCCAGAAACTCTTAGGTTCAAATGATCTTTGTGCCTCAGCTTCCACAGTAGCTAGGACTGTAGGTATGTGAGACCACACTCAGCACATTGAAGTGCTGTAGGGCTTTTAGTGAGATATCTGGCTTCTACCGACTAGATGCCAATATCATTTATATTTCAAAAGTTTGTTTTTGTTTGTTTGTTTTTTAAAGACAGGGTCGCTATGCAGTTAATGCTGGCTTTGAAGTCATGCTGATCCTCCTGCCTCAGACTCCTGAGGAGGCATGTGCCACTGTGGCCAGCTGCAAAGTTTTAATTAAAACAATTTTTGTTGTGACTGATGTTACAAGTATTCATGTTTTATTTTCAACAACACAATACAATGATAAAGAGAAAAACAAGGGGTTTAATTACTTACTCATGGGGGTCTAATTACAGGCATAAAATTATATGATCACATCAAAATAGTTTATTTAAAGGTAAACACACTTTTCTTTTTCCATTAACTCAACCATATACAGCTTACTTTACAAGGCCAGATTTCATTCAGGATATAACTATACCAGGGCCAGGGATATAGCTCAACAGTGCTGTGCCTGCCTAGCAAGCCCATGGACATTTGATCCCTGGTATAGGATGGATGAATGAATGAATGAATGAATGAATGAATAAATAAATAGGATATACCTATACCAGAAAGCTCAAATTGAAAATTGAAACTCTGGCCATTCCAATGGAATGATTGTGGATGGGTTTAAATCTGAGTTAGAAAGTAATACAAAAATTGGAATTAGCCTTTTTTGGGGGACCAGTGAAGTAGATTAAACTGAGGGGTTCGCTTAGGCTAGGTAAGTCCTAGTTACAGCCCCAGCCTGAAAATGATTAACTTTTAACAGCAATTCAATATCATTATCATGCAAATAACACAATTTCAACATGAAAATTATAAAAACAAATTTACCTCTTTTGAGTCATCTATTCTCTCAAAATACACAAAAGCAAATCCTCGAGATCGCCCAGTTCGCTGATCGTAAACCACATTGACACCACTCAATGGTCCATATCGAGAAAATACTTCACGAAGATCTCTCTCTGTTGTATACAAACTGAGGCCAAAAACTCCAAGACAAGTATTGGGATCTGGATTGGCCTATTGAATAAAGACATTATTAAAGTTTAATTAAAAGACTTAATTGAAACCAGAATAGGACTGGGGATGTAGCTCAGTGGTGCCATTCTTGCCTAGCAGCCACAAGGCCCTGAGCTCAATCCCTGGTACTGCAAAATACAAAACAAAAAACAAACAATGAACCACAGAATTCCCACATGGTAGTACATTTCTGTAATCCCAACTCAGGAAGCTGAGGCAGGATAATTGCTTCAAGTTCAATGCCAGACTGAATTGCATAGTAAGGCCTTTTTTCTTTCTTTTCTTTTTTTTGGTACTAGGGATTGAATTCGGGACCTTGCACTTGCAAGGCAGGAGACTTTCCTTTCAAAAATCAAAATCAAATGCTGCAATGCTTTGTGCAAAATGTATACCATTTCTAGTTATTTGGAAAATTTTTTTTGGGGGGTGGCACTGGGAACTAAATCCCCCAGCTTCAAGCATATTACCTAAGTGCTGTGCTACTGAGCCACAGACAAACCCCGGGGATTTAGCTCAGTGGTTCTGCCAACTACCTGGCGCAAGCGTAAGGGGAGAGAGAGACAGACAAAGACAGAGACAGAGACAGAGAGAGAGAGAGAGAGAGAGAGAGAGAGAGAGAGAGAGAGAGAGAGAGTGAGTGAATATGTCTTATCTTCCAGGCTCGCCCTGAACTATGCAGCCCAGGCCGCCCAGAGTGGAATTATAGGTATGTTTCGCTACACCTAACTTTTCTTTTTTAAATTTTGAGACAGGGTCTAAGTTCCCCAGGCTGGCCTTGAATTTGCAATTCTCCTCTTTGAGCTTTCCAAGTCGCTGGGATTAGAGGTATATAGTATCACACCTAGCTGGATATTAGATTTTAGGAAAAACTAAGGCAGTAAAAATCATATATTACAGTTCACACACAATTCACTTTTTTGGACTATAGTTTTAGCCAGAGCCTGAATAAAACATTCCCATTCTCAAGCCAGCAATATTTGGAATGTATTCCAAGAATTTATTCTTTGTATCCCTCATTAATAATGTGACACTTGGAATCACTGGTCTAGACACATCTATTTTTCTTTTAGCTCAGATATTCTTTCAATGTTCTCCTAATCCACATTTTACAATTAAACACACATATTTCTAATCATCATTAAATACTGATATACTACAACACAGGTAAGACTAAATGTCAGTCTTATGTGAGAGAAGCACATTTGAATAGCAGAAAGGCAAAGAATCAGGAGGCCTGTCAATGCCTGAGCAGCTAGTAAATTAAAATAAAAACACTTTAATATCACATATTCCACTTCATCTTCCCTTCTGTAACAGGATAGCCTGCCTCAGAGGTGTATAAAAGTGTTAGCTTGTAAGATATAATTAGCACATAGATTTTGGTGTTTTGTTTTGTGGTAATGGGGATTAAACTCAGTGTCTTCATTGACATACACTTATACCCTTGGACCTTTTTAATTTTACACGAGGTCTCCCTAAGTGACTCAAATCTTGGATACTCCCCTTCCTCAGCCTTCCAGAATGTTGGGATTACAGGTGTATCCTACCACACCTGGCCAAGATTTTATTTTCTTGCTTTCTTCCCATGATGATAAAACTCTGAATGTATCATAATGTTGTTCTCTCATCCAAATTTATGCTTTTCATTTTAATTCCGGGATCGTATTTCTCCCAATTTCATCTTTTCAACCTACTCAAAAGTTCAGAAAATACTGGGGATTTAGCTCAGTAGCACCACACCTGCTTCTCAAGTGCAAGATTCTGAGTTCAATCCCTGGTACCAAAAAAGATGTGTTAATGTGTTATATACATGTACAAACTCCCCACCATAAATGTAATCATTGTGTACTGCAAACATGTAAAAATAAAAGTTCAGAAAATATAGCTCCTTTGTAATAATAGCCTACATGAAATCTATGTAGGCTTGCTAAGATGGTAGCATTGCCAATATTAGTACATTTATAGCATACAAGGTTTTCCTGTTTTATTTTTAAATTCTGAAAGCTAAGGCAATTAAGTAAGTTTTTGGAGCATCACTTCGAAACAATGGCCTAAGATAGGCTGGTGATATGGACTTATATCACCTGCCTGAAGCAGGAGGGCAGCTTGAGCCTAAGTTTGGACCAGCCTAGGCAACATAGCAAGATCCCATCTCTAAATTTAAAAAAAAAGAAAGAAAGAAAAAAAGAAAGAAACATAGCTGGGCCTGGTGACACGTGCCCATAATCCTAAAACTCAGGAGGCCGAGGAAAGAGGATTGACCCAAGTTTGAGACCACCCTGGGACACAGTGAGTCAAGGTCAGCCTGAGTTAAACAGTGAGCCCTTATTTTAAAAACAAACAAACCCCCAACAAAAACAGAAAAAAGAAAAAAAAACAATCATATAACTCTAAAAGAAGCAAGATACTATGACATTACTACACAGGAAAGAGAAAAACAAGCAACTTCTGTATCACATACCCTGCTTCCTGTATGTCTTCTCCGGTTAGACATTGGCGAATGGCTTCGGCTCCTTCGCCGCCGGTATTCTGGTGTATATGTCCTACTTCGAGAGCGTCTTCTATGAGAGTGAGAGTGGGATCTGGATCGAGTGTAACGTCTATGAGAATGCCTCCTTGACCTTGACCTTTGAGATAAATAAACTTAGGTAAAACAACCACCACCACCACCACTGCCTGCAAGAAATGCCTAGCAGTCTTATTACAAGGATATAAATACATACAGACCCCTGCCTATTCATGGCTCTTCGGTCCATTTTGTATAATGAGATCAAACAAGCACTCACTCTATCCACAGAGGATTACCCCTAGTCCATCCACCCCCACCCCTATTAGGGATTGAACTCAGGACCTTCTGCTTTTGAGGCAGTAGCAGTGCCACTAAGCTAAATCTCTGGTCCCTGTCCTTCTTTTCTAAGAAAAAAAGTCTTCTTTCTCTTGTTCTCTGAACTCACTAGAGCTCCACTTCCTGTTCTCAGTTTGTGCCTTTTGACATTCACACCTTCCACTTTATAAACATGTTAAAGCTCTACTTTCTTTAATAGAGAAACAGCCTAAATGCCCATCAAGAGGATAAAGATGTGTTTTTTTAAACAATGGACTATTACTCTGTCATAAAGGATGAGCTTCAGACATTTATAGCTAAATAGATGGATCTTTTTTTTTTTGGTACCGGGGATTGAACTCAGGTCCTTGTGCTTGCAGAGCAGGCCACGGAACCGCTGAGCTAAATCCCCGGCAACAGATGGATCTTGAGACCATACCATAAGTGAAATAAATCAGACACACATTTGAGTGGCATGTTGTTTCTCTGCTGTGAGAAACTGAAAGTGGATATGAGGACTAAAATTGAGGAGAATAGGTCAGTAGTATCTAAAAGTCACTGAGTTTACTCCTATTCTGGGCAAGGAGAGGTTATCTCTACGTCCAGGATTGAATGAATGTTTGCGACTTTGCCCAATGGAAAAGACACCTTTGGAATGGTATTCCTAGGTCATGGGTAAGAATTCACATAGATGGCTGGATATGGACTGTACTTAAAATTGCACCTTTAGCATATTTTTTTCTCTTTTGGGTACCGGGGATTGAACTCGGGACTTTGCACTTGCAAGGCAGGCGCCGGAACCACTGAGCTAAATCCCTAACAAGAATTACACCTTTAAAATACTGGTGGTCTCAGTATCTGGTTATTTCCCCCAAAAGACCTGCATTTTAGCTTTTTTTAAACATCCACTAAATCTGGCAGTCTGAACCCTCGCCCCACTCCCAGAACTGACTTTCAAGCTCTGAGAAAATATCTTATAGGACTGGGTCCTCCTTAATAATCTATATTCCTTCTATGTAAATTTCTGCTGTTGTTATCTTATGTAAAATATAGAAAAAATTTATCGTACATAATTTCTATTAACTGTTAAAACATGAAAAAAAGAAATGGAAGTTGGGAGTTATAGTAATTCCCAAAATTATATATTCAGTAGTTTCAAGAATATTTCAATATATATGCCAATTTGTTTCATTTATACCACTAGGTCTTCTTTTTTGTTGTTGTTGTTGTTTTGAGACAGGGTCTCACTATGTAGTTGAGACTGACCTGGAACTCACTATATAGCCCAGGCTGGTCTCGAACTCACAGTGATCCTCCTGCCTCAGCCTCCCGAGTGCTGGGACTACAGGAGTGTGCCACCACGCCCAGCTGCCACTAGGTCTTCTTAGTTCGATGAATAAGAAAGTTTTGTGCAATTATCTATTTGTTTTGTTTTTGTAAGTCTTTTTTGTCCATGATTTGTACTCTAACAGCCATTCTTTTAAGATTATGGTACACAGCGTATTAACTGTTATTCTTTAGTTATAAAATTTTGCTTTATTTTTAATAGGCTTTTTAAAAACATTTTTTGTGTCTACTTCTATTACACTGAAGTAAAAATAAAAAGTAAAACATTACCATTGCCACAATAAAATGCTTTCAACCTTCTATTCCCCTGAATAGAAATGTTAGCTATAGATTCACTGCTAATCATTACTTCCTTTCCAATTTTCTTTAGCCTGCTGCAAACTAATACTTGCTAAGTTAATTCATCAATAACATAAATATCCATCTATATTAAAAGGTGCTTTTTAGTCTCTATGATTAATCAAAATATTTTAATTTTACCATTCATACAATTCACTCTTTATTAAATTTAGAGACTAATAGTGATGGTAGTCACACAAAATAACTTCTAAGATGTATTCAATAAACATTATAATTCTAAGGGCTACAAAGATTAAAAAGAGCATAAAAGCCTAAGTGGGAAGAAAATAAAACTAATTTGGCCCAGGGATTCACCTCAGTGGCACTGTACCTGCCTCATAAGCACAAGGTCTTGAGTTCAATCCTCAGTACCCCCCCCCAAAAAAAGGCACTAAGAGAATAAAACCAATTACGAAACAAAGGCAACAAGCAATAAATCTCTGGGAGATTTAACAGAATTTGCAAGGCAGATGGACAAAATACTCTAGGAATAGCAAAAGCAAAAGTTCGTTGGCAAGAGGACAGGGAGACAGCCAGGTGTTGGTGGTGTGTGCCTACAATCTCAGCTAACTGAGGATATGGCAGGAGGGTCCTAACCAAGTTTGAGGACTGCCTGGGCAACTTAGTGAAATACTGTCTCAAAGCAACTACCAAAAAATAAATAAGAGCTCAGTGACAGAACATTTGCCTAGCATGCATAAAGCCACTACCAAAAAATAAAAATGATGACATGAAATCTGAAAGGAATTAGGATATTTAGGAACTAACTTCATCAAGTACTGAGATTAACACTACACACCTTTTGTTTTGAAATTTATTAGGGATTGAACCCAGGGCCTTGCTTGACCACTGAGCTGAACTATGCCCCTACCCTAATTCTGAGACTAGGTTATGCTAGATTGCCCAGAATTGGCCTTGAATTTGCAATCTTTCTGCCTCAGATTCCCCAGACTCTGGGATTACAGGCATGCTTGGCTTAAAAACTGTGCACATATGAAAAAGTAAAGGTTTCTGAGAGGGAAAGAAAATAGTTGTCTACTATGTAAAAATAATTTGGGGGTAAAGAGGGGAGTATGTATGAAGAAACCTTGGGTTTGTGCAATACCATCAAATAGATATTCCCCATTTTCCTCAGGAAAACTAATTTATAGCCCAACCTGCCTTCTAAAATATCAATTGTTATTTTTAAACAGGAATGAAAGTTAGACATTTGAGATATTTCCAGAGTTACCTTTATCCTAAATCAGTGACAAATATAATGGGAAAAAAATTAATAGGTGAGAAATAACAAGTGTATGTGTAAAATATAAGATAAAAACATGGTCATTTCCTATTTCTATACACAAATTCTATCTAGTATCATTCTGCACATGTAGATCTGAAGTATCTCAATGGTAAGTTAAGGATGGACTAGATCCTGTGCTTAACAGAGAAACAACCATCACTGTGAACTTCAAGAAAAATACAGCCTTTTAACTGACTCTTACTTTTTTTTCTTGGTACTGGGGATCCAACTTGGGTCTTTGTGCTTGTGAGGCAGGTGGCAAAACCACTGAGCTAAATCTCCCACCCTTAACTGATTCTTCTGTCTTATGCTCCTTTGCAAACAGACTCTATTCAAAGACATTCCATGTCCAGGTTTATTTATTTTATTTTTGTTACTGGGGATGGAATCTAGGGCTTTTGCACTGAGCTACAACTCCAGCCCTTTAAAAGTTATAGTTTTATTTATTTATTTATTTTGGTGGTGGTGGTAGTACTGGGGATTGAACCCAAGGACTACATACAGTACATCGTCAAGTCCTTTCCTTCTTTCATTTATTTTGGTGATCAAACTCAGGATCATGTACTTGTGAGGCAGGTGGTGACACCACTGAGCTAAATCCCTAGCCCCCCAATTTTTTTTTTTTTTGAGACAGGGCCTTGCTATGTAGTTCAGGCTGACCTTGAACTCAGTGATCTTCCTGTCTCAGCCTCCTCAGTGCTGGGATTACATGTGTGGGCTACCACACTCAGCCTATTTAAATTTTGAGACAGGGTCTCATTAAGTCACCTAGGCTACTATGCAATTTGTGATCCTCTTGCCTATCTCCTAAACTGTTTGCCACACTTGGCACTGTTCGAGTTTTTAAAAATTTTGTTGCACCCAAGTATACCCAGACTCTGTGACACAGTGACTCATATAGCACATCACTACAGCTTTTGTTGTCATCACTCGGGAGTCTTTCTTCATTTACATCTGACCAGAGTTCTGAAATTTGAGTTATCTTCTGGCAAAGGATGTATGGAATGTAAATCTTAAAACTTTCTCAAATTATCAGACCTAGCACTTAGGAGGCAGAAGCAACAGGATTGAGGTTAGCCTGGACTATTACACAGTGAGCTCAGGGCCAGTCTGAACTATACAGCGAGTCCCTGTCTCAAAAAAAAGAAAGAGAAAGATAAGCAATCAGTGTAAACCCCTACAATGCACCACATCAAACATTCTCTGTACTAAATTACAGTACACAGAAGTCGTCAATGGAGAAAACTGCTTTTTTGTTTTACAAACATTGTTAGTATAAAGTCAAAAATAACTCTTAAATGCAGGTACATTTAAATCAATCCATACATATTTAATTTCTATCAAGAGATATGGCAGTATCCAAAAGATTAACTATACTGAAAGATGATTCTTTATCAAAATATTTATCTAGAATACATTATTCATTACTAAATTCTGCAATCTGAGTACTTCTTAATTTTAAACCTTTGGCTACATTTTACCAAACAGAGGGATTTGGCAAAACTCATTTGCTGGGACAACTCCACTGAAGAGCATTTAAAGTATTACCTTAAGGACACTTACCGGGATTTGGATCTTGATCGAGAATGGGATTCAGAATGTTTGGAAACCCTTGATGGACTACGAGATCCTGACCTGCTCTCTGATTTTACACGAGCAGGAGTTCCAGTTGGAGATTTTGACTGAGAGCGAGACTCCTAACAAAGAAGACAGTATTACAAATGGCACTGGTCACGTAGATGCCTAACACCTAACATTTAAAGTACCGTAATTATTTATATTGATTGCTCCTGAAAAACAAATGGTTAGGCAACACCCTCCAGAAAAAAATTTCAGCTCATTAACAGCCCATTGTTAATACTGCTAACTGTCCTCAATAATTCCCTACTTGAACCAGATCACCAATTCTCTATTAACTAAGTAATCATGCAAATTCATCTACAACTTGATCATACAGACACTGGAACATAAACCATACATTTACTTAACCTAGGACCCATTCATTCTTCCAGATTCTTTTAATTCTACTTCACTCTTGCTTTCTACTTCTCTTCATTCTTCATTGAGTTTTTCATTTTTCATACTTCGTGTATTCTTCCCCAAACAATTCAAAATAGCCTTAAAAAATATTCAAGTGCTTCTATCTGACCAATCTTCTGTTCAATTTTTTCCCCCATTCAATTTTAATTTTCTGATCTTTAATACTTTTCATTAGCCTTCTTTTATCTTGATTTATCTTCCACATTCTTGGAAAAAACTCTTCAATTTCTTCACGAACATTAACCTTAATGGAAAAAGAACATTTAGTATATTTAAGCACGTGGGGATTATAAAACTCTGCTGGAGTTCAGAATGTTATCTACCAAATGGAAAAACCAGCAGGTAAAGTGCAAATAACTAGTTTATTTTTTAAAAAAAACAATTTTATAGTTTTAAAAATTGCTCAATAGTGTAGTTTCTAACAGAGAATTTATTGAATTTCTCTAATTTTCCCCCACAGTCTTTACCCTCCTCCCCTTTCATGTTTCATTCCTGTTCCTAAAATGTGAACAATTTTAATATACTTAATTAAAACATAAATCTAATATAAACTGTAATCCCCCCACCTAAGTGTTTTCACTACTGTAGTATGACCTGAAGATTCTTACTAATCTCAGAACAAGCTTTCACTAAGTCATGCTAAGAAACCATGATACAGTTAAAGCAAAAAGCATCCCAAGCCAAAACAGTTGCCTACACCTACCTAAACTCACATATTATAGCACAAATGCCAGAGATTAAAATTAGAAAATTAGCAAAATTACTAACAACCTTGCTCAATTTTCTCTGACCATTTTTCTTTGTTTAATCAGACTTCACCAGAAAGATATGTTCTGCAGACAAGCATATTGAAAAACTAAAGGGCAGGGGGAGAAAAACTAAAGGGAAAGGGGAAGCACAGATTTTTTAACATTTCCCTTCTGGCTTGTAAAAAAACAAGACAAAAAACAAAACAACAAAAAAAACAAAACAAAACAGGTATCTATATATACTCTCCTTTAGAGGCTATATTTCTTATATTGCAAAACTGATTTCTGAAAAGTTGGGTATAAGTCAAAACTTTCAGAATATTATTTGTAACGGATTTGCTTGACAGATATGACAGTTATGATCAAAACAAATGGACAATTTCTCCATTAAAGCCTTAATGTCAGCAAGTATCTCAATTTCACGACAGTAATTTCAGACAAATTTTCATCTCTGCCAGAAGACTACCACACAACTTTAAAAAATTTCTTCAAGAGTTAATACAAAAAGATGTATTAAGAACTGTAATAAGGCTGGTAGGCCTATCCATTTTTAAAGCTGAAAACAAAAGGGACAGCTGTCTTTCTGTTCACTATCAATCTTTCCCCTTTTAGCCACATCTTAAGATACTTGTCTAAATTCTTGGACAGATGCCTGGAGCAGCATTTTCAGTACTTAAAAAGAAAAAAATTAAGTATGGCTAATGTGCTTTTAACTCAAGCCTCACAAGCTAGTTCAGGAACTGCTAAGAATTATCCATTTGGCTCATCCCTTTTAAAAAACAGACCCTCAGGCATGGCATTCACTTATGTTACTGTTGCACAACAGTGGCTGGAATAATATCTATGAACATTAACCACAGCCTTTGTAATATGAATATATCAGAAAGCTTTGCTGTGAAAATTTTAATTTTAGGAAATAAAAAAATCATGTTAAAAGCCTAAGTTTTACCCTTTCCTCCATCTTGATTAAGTCATGAAGTTGTCAATATAGGGCTGGAATTTGTAATCCTCCTTGTCCCAGCCTCTCTCCTGTATTGGGGACTGAACTAAGGACTGTAGACTGGGTTACATCCCCAACACTTACTTTCTCTCTTTCTTTCTTTTTAATGGTACTGGGGATCAAACTCAGGCCCTTGTGCTTGCAAGGCAGGCAGCGGCACCACTGAGCTAAATCCCCAGTCCAATTTTTAAATTTTTGATATTGAGCCAGCATCTAAATTGCCCAAGCTGTGCCTGAATTTGGGATCCTTCCTGCTCAGTCTCTCAGAGATTACTGGGATTATAGGTGTCACGATGGGCTGTCTCTGGATGTCTTTTTAAAAGACAACAAATTTTAAAAGATTTGCCTTTTATTATCATCCAGGGTGTCATAAATACCTAATGATCCTTGCCTGCCCTTCTATTACCTAAACTAAATCTATATGAATTTCTTTCTCGAATCACTCAAGGTAAAGAAAGTCCACTTAACTTTAATTTCTATAATATTCTATACCTGCAGGAAAATTAAACTGCCAAGTACAAAAACAAAAAAATTTTGGGGGGTACTACAGATCGAATTTGGGACCAGAACCACTAAGCTAAATTCCCAGCTGTACAAATATAATTCTTACATTTTAGTATAAAATCAAAACATGGCCCACTAAGAACTCTACAAAGATGGTCATATTTACTATTTTACAGTAACTAATTTTTCTCAAACATGACTACCAAATGACATTTTCATAAACTGTACATTAAAGATCAGGTTACAATAAGTTTTTTTATGAAAGACATACTAGATAATCCTTTTCTATTCCTGACCTGTCTTCATTATGAAAATTTCAACTATTTAGTTTTTGAGGCTAGATCTCACTATGGCACCCAGGCTGATCTTTCCTATCTCAGTCTCCTAAAGAGGAATATGCCATCACGTCTAGTTAATTTAACTTAAAAAAAGAACAAAAACTATATAACCAAATTGTAAATACCAAAAAAAAAAAAAAAAAAAAAAAGAGTTAAGAAATAGTTTCTGACCTGTTTTCACTTGCATAATACCTATCCTTTAAGCTATCTTGTTAAATTTTATAAATTTCTCAGTAACCTGGCTCCTGGAACCAATGACCATTAAAAACACACTGCTTCATTAAAATGAGCAGATTATGAATTAACCAAACTACTATCAGTTTGTTTTTGACAGCACTGGGGATTGAATCCAAGGCCTTCACACAGTTATATCCCTAGCATTTTGTTACCTTTTTTTTTTTTTTTTAAGTGCCTTGCTATGTAGTCCATGTTGGCCTCTAACTCAAAGAGAGCCTCCTGCCTCAGCCTCCTGAATGCTGGGATTACAGGTGTGTGCCATCACTCCTGGCTATCAGGTGTTTTTTTTTTGGCGGGGGGAGGTGCCGGGGGTCGAACTCTGGACCTTGCACTTGTGAGGCAGGCAGCGGAACCAATGAGCTAAATTCCTGACCCCATCACTTTTTTTAACAGAAACCTTCAATAGCCTTCTAGTCTAACTTACATACTATAAATCAGAAGCCAGGCAGAATTCTCACAGAGTAACCCATTTAAACAGGTTTGTAACCGCCCCCCACACACACTGTTGCAGAATATGAATAACTCCTACAGCAATTTTTAATGTGGTCATTATAGATGAAAAGTTCTAATATATATGCTTAGTATTTAAGGCCAGGAAAATTCTATGCCTAGGAAACATGTCAAACCTACAAATTCTATGTAAAAAATAAACTTATGAAACTTTCTAAAAATGTATTTCTCTACCACTTTTTAAAATCGGAGAGGGCCTGGGATTTAGCTCAGTGGTTCAACCACTTGCTTTGCAAGTGCAAGGTCCTGGGTTCGACACCCACCCCCCTACCCCCGGGCGGGAGGATCTGAGGTTTCCACTGATTATACTACCAAATTTAAATTATGTATCCCCAAAGAGGAAAGAATATCTGCCCTATGAATATCATTCTTTAGGAATTTTTGAAAAACCTTTTATATTTATTCAATTCTGTTTTTCTGTTTATAGAATAACAATTTTGCCTTCTTCCTCTTGGGTATGATAGGGCTATTTCTTTTGTAGAACATAAGACTGATAAAAAATACTTCTAATCATGTCTTGTCTTAAATCTAACTGGAATTAGAGCAATCCCTTAAAAAGAAACAATGGCTGCTTTCAGTATTCATTTCAAACAAGAATCTCTCCCTTTTTAAGACCATAACTGCTTCACTTTATTAAAGTGGTCTCTATCTGCAAAGACTCAAATATTCTGAAAATGTTTTATGATTAAGTGGCACTTATAATCAAGTTTAAATTCATATCACAACTGTGATGCTACCTGTACAATTTATAACCTGTATATAAAATATATAAACCTAATTTATATATATATTTTTTGTTTGTTTTGAGACAGTCTTCCTATGCAGTTCAGGCTGACCATGAATTCACTATGTAGCCCACAGTGGCCTCAAACTCACTGTGGAGATGGTCCTGCCTCAGCCTCCTAGATGCTGGGACTACAGACATGTGCCAGCAATAACAGCCCCCCTCCATACTGGGGATTGAACCCAGGACATTTGCATTGAGCCACATCCCAAGCTTTTTTTTTTTTTTGGTACTGGGGATCAAACTCAGGACCTTATGCTTCCAAGGCAGGCAGGATGCCACTGAGCTAAATCCCCAGCCCCATTACATCCCAATTTTTAAAAAAATTTGAGACAGGGTCTTGCTAAAGTTACTAAACTGCCCAAGCTGGGCTCAAACCTGAAACCCTCTTGCCTCAGCCTCCCAGAGTGTTGGAATTACTGCGATGCATCACCATATCCAGCTATCACAATAAATTGTAATGTTCAAGTTAGTACATAAGTGGTGATCTCAAAAGTAGAAAAAAATAAAGACTGTATCATCAAAAATGGATTAG